GTTTGAAGAATAATATATATATCGGTAATAGTAATAATAATAATAATAGTAATTATAATATTATAAGTTGTCAGGAGAGTAAGACGGGAGAGAATGTAAAGAAGTAAAATGACGAGTTCAATTATCTACCCTGATTGGTAAATGCGATTTTAAGGAGATAGGCCATTTGGATGCAGTCCTTGCATCGCTGCATGGTTGTCCAGCCTTCGCTTAAAGGCGTCCAAAGACGGTGCCATAGCTACATCTGCCGGTGAGAAATTCCAGGGACGACAAACCCGCAGTGAAAAGAAGTGAGAGCGCACCCGGGTCCTTGCCCTCTGGTGAGCTTTCCTTCTAGGATTTCCACGTGGAAGCCTATACCTACTCAATGGCAGAACACCTTTGTTTCAGTGATTCCGGTCATTTGTTATTTTGTAGGCAGTAATCAAATCCCCCTAAGCCGACGGTAACTAAGTGTGAACAGGCCTAATTTCTTCGGCCTTTCATCATATGGTTTGTTTCGGAGACCAACCACTCCTTTTGTTGCCCGTCGTTGGACTCTTTCCAAGAGGTTGGCATCTCTTCTCAGCATTGGGGGTGCAATAATATTATGCACCTCAAGGTGTGGCCCGACGTATGTTTTGTACAACATTAGAAAGAGCTCAGGAGTGAGTGCACCTAACTGTCTATGCGTAAAGTGTATGACCGCATATGCCCTCGCTACATCCCCTGTGTAATTTGCGCTTGTGTCCATTTTTTCTGTTAGAGCTAGACCTAAGTCGCGTTCCGACGGTTTGCAGGACAAGCTTTCATTGCACAGGGTGTAACTTGCATTCTGCAGTCAACAGGTGCGCAACTTCACTACTTTGCACTTTTTCAAGTTGAAAGTCATGCCACTGGCCACCGCCCAGTCTTCCAGAAGGTCTTCCAGAAGGTGTTCTAAGTGACGGAGACAATGTTAAGCGTGAAACCTTTGACTTGCTTTGTTGTTAATAACATAATTTTGGCCCTTGTTATTTCCCCCTTACACTCTCTTATTTGTACTCTATGGTGAACAACCTTCTCAAACATACTTAGCTGCTTAAAATTATTATCATTGGCTTACATTTTTATTCTTTATTCTATTCCTTCTTTATACATCTACTGGGTCCGACTATATTATCACTATGATTATTAAAAATTGTCCCGTCATTAACCATCATGTAACATTAGTTTTGTGGTTGTTCTTTGTTCGGCACTATTTAACTGACAATCTTGTTTGTTATTGCCCCTATCACCATCTTAAAAAAATTTGTGTTATGCATGATTCCTCACACTACCACTACAAACACCGCATTAGTGCTGACAATAAAAAAACACAACCTGAAATGTTTATCTTATGATTGCTTAGTGTTGTTCAATCAAATTAACTGATCATCTTAGCTATAAACATTTTTTTAAGAACATCTCATAATTTCCCGTATGATTATAGCCGTTACTGTTCACCACGCATACTCATATCGTAGCTTCCACTAACCAATACTGAAATATTTTTTCATTATTTGTGTTTATCTTCCTTTTCACTTGGTATTTTTATTGCATTTCTTTTGTCATTTCTGTTTCTTTTTTGGTTTTTTGTTGTTATTGATTTTTGTTTTTTTAAATATTTTATTTTTTTATAATACTCCTTTTAAATGTACGATGAAATTAGATGCAATATCGTAGATATGTGCTGAAAATTCCACACTGTACCACAGGTACTGTTTCTGGAATAAAGCGAAATTGTTATTATTATTATTGTTATTATTAGGTCTTCCTGTAGCCTATCTGTGTCCTCCGGACACTTTATCGCCCTCCATATTTTTACGTCGTCAGCGTACAGGAGAGTCGGGCAGCTCAGACGGCGTGGTAGATCATTGATGAAAATCGAAAACATCAGTGGTCTCAGGATAGAACCCTGAAACACTCCTGATGACGATCTGTTCCAAGATGATCGGACTCGGTTAACCTTAGTGCAAAATTGCCTGTCGGTTAGGTAGTCCTTCAACCATGACAGAAGTGGCTCGCCTATGCCTGCCTGGCTTATTTTATGTAGGAGAAGGTCATGGTGAACAGTGTCAAATGCCTTCTCAAAGTCTAGGAAGACCACATGGACTGGAACATTCATATCCCAGTATGATATCCAATGGTACGTTCAAGTCCCAGCATGATGTCCAGTCGTCCCAAGCTGACAGTAGGTTAGTGACGCAGGATCTGCCTTTTCTGAAACCATGTTGGGCTTCATGTAGTATATTAGTCCTATCGAAATATTCCCTGATGTGGTCGTCAATAATACTTTCCAGTACTTTTGATACCACTGGGAGTAGAGCTACTGGTCTATAGCTAGCAGCGTTTTGCCTGTCCCCACCCTTGAAGATTGGAGAAAGGATGGCTCTTTTCCACTCCCTTGGCAGGGTCCCCGAATCCATTGAGTGTTGGAACAAGTCGCACAGGGGTCTACAGAGAGCCTCGGCGCACTGTTTCAGAACAGATGGCCTGATGTCATCACAACCTGGGGACTTCCCAGGTATGAGTCGCTGTAGCTTCCTTAGTACTATTGCGGGGTTTATTTGGGGAGTAGTCGCTAGGTCTTCCTCCTCTGAAATAGTGGTGCCACCATTTTGGTCCGTAACTGTAATATCCACATTGCTGTTTAGCTGTTTAGCGAAGGCTGAACTGAATGTTTCAGCCATCTCCAGACTAGTGAGATATTGACCGTTTGGGCCTACTAAGGCGCATGCCCCTTGGTTTGTCGGTTTTCTTTCCGACATGAATCGGTACAAGTTTTTAGGGTTTGATAGGAGTTTTTTAGCAAGGTTAGCCTGGAATGACCTTCTGTCCCTCCTGACTCTTGCATTACACCGGTTCCTGAGTTCGAGGTATGCATCATGGTCGGTCTGACTCTTAGATACACGCCACGTAAACCAAGCCTTCCGCTTTGCTTGCAGAATACGTTGCGTGCCTCTCTTCAACCATGACGTCTTTCTCTTAGGCTGTGTTGTGACTAAAGGGACGGTATCCGAGATTGCTGTATGGATAATCTTTTTTACCACTTCCCAGTGTTCATCCACAGATAGGTCGTCCCATGCTAAGGGCCAGTCTGCGTCGGACAAGAGCCTCCGCATTTCAGCATAGTCAGCCTTGCTGTAGCACAGACATGGTCGCGTAACATCCCATTGCAAACGCTCACGGAGGACAAGATCGAAACCTATGACTGCATGGTCACTGCTTCCCAGAGGAGTCATGATCTGGACCTTTTCGACGAGTAGCTGGTCACTAGTTAGAATATAATCTAGTTTTGATGACTTTCCACTAGGGCCCCACCTAGTGTCGTCTCCAACATTCTCAGTCAGTCCCGTGTTTCGAATAGTTTGCAGTAGGTTTCGGCCAAATTTTCCCTTAGCACACCCGGAGCCGAGGTTCAGTGATGGAGCATTGAAATCTCCAGCTATGGTGATTTGGTCGTAGCCCAAATCTCGTATTCCTGTGATAGTGCTGAGCAGTAGCTGATTGTGCTCTGCCCCACAGGTGGGAGATCGGTAGATGCCACCCAGTAAGTGCTTGGTGTGGCCTACGGTGAAATGACACCATATGGAGTCTGGGAGTTCGATAAGTGGTGGGTCCGTTGCGCGCACACATTTAAGTTGCCTATCAAAGTATATAGCAACTCCCCCTCCTTCCTTATTATCCCTGTCTCTTCTGACCAGTACCATATCACCTATACTGATTTCATTGTCGGCGATAGTGGGGTTTAGCCACGTTTCAGTAAGAATGATTATTTTCAGTTGAAGGTGTGCTTGGAGATTTCGGAGTTCACCTACTTTCCCTCTCAGCCCCCTCACATTGCTATATAGGCAACTGACAGTGAGTCTAACAACCTCAGAGTGTTGTGGGGTAGTTGACGTGAAACCGTCTGCTGGTGGGGGACTTGATGTTGGAACTAGTTGGCCGATTCCGATAGAACCGGCCCGTTGTAGTTTTTTTCAATGGATTTAGGCAGGACACTTGGGAGACACAGACTATTATTCTCAGAGCTGCATCGCTCTAGTGTCACCGAAGCTTGGGGTCGTATTAAAGCCTCAGTTTGCTGCCTCCTTATATTTCTGGGTCTGCTTTCACAGCATCGGATGTGTCCTCCAATTTTTCCCTTGGTCTCATACCACCGTTGAAGTGATATGGAGTTGAATGTGACACACAGCAGATTTGGAGAGTTAATCAATGTTAGATGAGCGGGACGAGGTAGTCGGAAAATGGAGATGGCTCCAGAAGCGCCAGGGGCCATCTGAGATGACAGCCATCTCCATTGTTGTACGTCGTGCATGTGTTTTTCACAAGCAATGCCGGTTTCCAGCTCCGGAATGCATAACAACGTAAATGCAAATGAACTCTGTTTTAAAACATGATGCGAGATACTGTGGTGCAAAAATATCCCAAAACATGGTTGCGGAACGCCGAAACTCTAGCGCATTTTCACATTTTTTAGCTTCGAGTATGCATTGAATCCCACATTCTGATGGAGGTGGTGAGTGGTGGTAGCCAGTCCTAGACTTGAGTATGTTTACCACCTAGGAACCCAAAAATGCATCTGTAGGACCGTTAAATCAAGCAAATCCAGACTTAGTTTCCATAAATTTCACTGTCAGCATAGTTTGAGAACTCAATCAAACATTCAACTGTCCGATCTAATCCCATTTCGGTTATTATCCATGGCATCTGCATAAATATCTTAGTATTGCCTTAATATAAACTGATTTTTACCTTCAGGGTTTTCTCAAGTTTTTCACTGAAAATCATCCTGATTCCAAATATAGCTAACCTCTAACAACCATTGAGGAGCTCACAATTGTCTAAGGCAAATGCTGGAACTAATCGGAAAAGAATTCGCAAAAAGTCAAGAAGTATTTTCTGAAATGGAGACTAAAAGCAGCAACAGCAATTGACTTCTGAATACTTATTAGGATGAAAATTGGATATCAAATTGTTTTGTTGCAATATTATTGCAGCCTTGACCTAGAGCGATTTTGGTTTTTTTCAGACGTTTGGTTCGTTCAAGGACAGTCGTCATTTTCAATACTTGCTTAGAAAAGTCACTTATAAATAAATCCACGTCGTAAATTTCTTGAATAACTGGTTTTTCGAAAAAAGTTTGATTGCAAAGCAAGTGCAGGACTTCAATTAAAGTTCTGTACTTTGAAGTACATTATTTACTTGACATTTTCCTCCGAGTTAGAGACCAACGATGTACATAGGCATTTTGAATATGTTTGTTGAAAAGTAAAGTCTTATGACCGTGGAAAGGGCTATCATATATATCCTTGCATGATATCGTATCCTATGTAGGACACTACATAAATTTGATACGTCGTTTCTTGCAGTACTTCTATTATTATTATTAGTCACATCTAGATATGATGAATTTAGAATTCCGGGGTTTCCCCTGAAAAGAATACATGCTATTTTGCAGTTCAATATTTTAGTTTTTAATAAATTAAGTAATTACTACAGTCATATATTCAGTACTTTTGAAATGTTAAGTGTCTGTAAATTTACATACAGTAAAAGCGTGTCAGTAGGAAAACAGACTCCCTTGAAGTTTCATAGATGAGGACATCAGAAAAAGTAATATATATTACTTTTAATTCAGATCATATGATCTGAATTTAAAATAAATTCAGGTTAGGGAGAGTTCATCTCGCGGAAAACTACAATACGGCTGCTAATTCTTCGCAAAAATAAATAGCAAGTTATAAGAAGCTTCATATTAAAGCCTTTTTCTATTGGAAATTAGTCAAAAATCTTTTCTACTGATGCGATTGGTTGTGTGTTGTCAGCGATATAATTTGGTGTCAACTTTATTCACACACAAAAATTTTCTGTCTTTTAGAATAAAACTTTCCCACAATTCACAGAAAACCTAACCTAAGAATTCGCAGAATTCGGATGTCTGAAATGAAGTCCAATATGGAATCCCCAATCATATCGATTAGCCCAAGACATTATATTCATGTCTTAAACTTGAATACTCATGTCACCGAGTTGATTATCGGTCCGAAGACATATGTTTGTCAGAAGGATGAAAAGTATGCTTACTTACCACTAATTGAGTACTTTTAGAGTTGTTCTGGGACCAGAAGCATTTACAGTTGTTCCATCCATGATGTACTGCGTTATTAGCAACCCTGTAATCAGGAATGAAACGGGTGTCCCAGCTATTGATGAATTTGGCCAGGTGAGAGTTCGAATGGGTGATGAGGAATATCGTTTCTCCCAAGATCCGTTTCCCCTATATCCGGGTGAAGTGCTTAAAGATAGCATCAAGCCTCTTCCAATAGTTCTTCCAAACTCAGCTTTGAGGTTGCGAGCACTTTCAGATTTTGAAGATGGCGGTATTAAGCGCACAGCTGGAGATGAATGGCTATTTGAAGGTCCAGGTGAGTAATGCCTCTCCTGTTTTATTCTATCATTCTAATTAACTACCAACACTACACTCAAACTTGTAAAGTTGACTTATCTAGTATCCGTTTCTCTTTCAATAACAGAGCTTTGTCTGGATGTTGAACTGCTAGTCATGATTCTGTGTAAATGAAAAATTCAGACTCGGATTGTGGTAAGGAGGTTGGACTTCAAGTGACGCCAGGCCAGACTCTCGAAATTATGAGTAGCAGTCACAACCGACTACAAAAAATGGCTGAGTCTTATTTGGGAGTGACCAATCATGTATTACTTGATATATTTCGGACCTTAAACCTCCTGTTGAGTTATGTTAACCAGTGAAATGTGTCACAGGCCGACAGCATAAAATCTGACAAAATAAAGCGAATTTTCTCCCCTGAATTTAAAGATACTGAGATACACCGTATATTTAGATAACGTTGGATAACGAAATCCTATGCTGAGAGGAGGAACAAAATTAGTGGTCACAAATGTTCGATAATTGGACTGAATAATGAGAAAAAACAAGCTAGTGTATATTAAATATGAATCACACTTAGTTATAAGGTGAAACATTCGCACGTTTAGATTATTAAAATGCTAATTATACCTATTCCAAAGTTCTGTCCAGATGTTGTCATTCATTCGCTGAAATATTTGCAGTCATGCAAGATTTATTTATTTGTTCAAGCAATCTTGTGAGTTTGCATATTTTGCTTTTCAGGAACTTATTATCCTAGAAAGAAGTCGAAGTTGTGAAGTGTGAAGAAGCCAAAGTGATTCTTCTTAATTCAGCTCTTGTCATGGAAGCCACGAGGGATTGTATTGACCGCAGTGGTGTTTCTCGTGTTTTCGGTGAACGATGGCTAGTTACAACTCAGGGTGCCTACCTTCCTGGAGTTTACGAAAGGATTGTCGAGGAGCGCAAGGCTATTACTTTAACCGATAAAGTGAGTGTCATAACCTTGATATGATTATGAGCAATAAATTGAGCTCGAAACGTCATCAGTAAATATTACTGTATAACACTGTGTGACTTTATCAAAATAAATTTTACCCATAATGGAATTATACTCTACCACAGTGCACAGGTTTTATTCTTAAACCGCACTATCAGTTGTTAAGTCACATGTGATTAAGTATTAACCACGGAATTGATCATGTATATTGGAAAACATGCTATCAGCAGGCTTTGGAAAATGTTGTGTACCGAACTAAATCTTTGTAGAGATGCAATATTATTTGTTTGTACATAAGTTCTTCAGTAGACTTAGTGCAGTATGGTTTATAAATAGCTGTGACTGCTTTGAAACCTTTAATGTTATGGCTGGTTACGTGATGCTGAGGTTTTAACTAGTGTTCATTACACAAACTGGTGTTACCTAAGGTGGAGAAAGTGAACAATGTTCGTCAGTTACTCAGGTGAGACTTACGCACTTCATTCAAACTGTTCCGTTAATTTAATGCATTTTACTACAAATGAAGGAGAACCAAGGCAACTTGGCTTCATTCTCTTCTGAACTATTTCACAAACATTGGATAACAAACTTAAATCCTCATCAATGGCTTGGTGGTATTGTTATCCTTGACACATCTTGTCTCAAGCTAATGTAACAGGACATGAAGCTAAACTAACTGAGTGGTTTTTGCCATTAATATAACCTTTCTAAAGCCTTTTCTGTACGAAATATTTCTATATCAACATTTTATATCACACAGTTTGCTGAAAGTTTTCAGTTTGCACGTCGTAACAAGAGTTAATCTAGGATACCTCTTTTCCAAATGCTGACTTGAAGCTGATTTTAGGTAGAATTGTAACATGTGAGTATTATATCAAAGATTGTATAACGTTACAGAGCAAAAATAGGTGAGGTAAAATTAGGGCGAGAATAATATATCTACTTGCAATCTCAACTGAGATAAGTTTTGAGCCACATTCCGTGAAGTTTATAATCTCATATTTCGGTTTGCGATCTTTCCCGTGGAAAGGCTCTCTACGTAGGATTTCGCTCCCATGTGAGCGGCATTAAGAGGATAAAAGTGGTTAAATAACTGTAGCTTTTCCAATTATCCTACTCTACCAGTCATACTGATATGATTGTATCTGTTGCGGTTAGGTGGGTAACAGTAAAGGTGTACTATGGTGTTTAGTGTTTGTAGTTGGAAAAAAGCTGGGACAAGTGAGATATTTATACCACTTAGTATCCGAAGTGGGACTGATTTAATGAGCTACTGTATATAATTGCTTAGATGTTTTTCCAAACTTTCTGTGATAATCGCGTTTCTGCACAACACAGACTACCTCTCACAATCGTGTGCAACGAACATCGTTTTACTTTGTGTGTGTATTAGGCAATAACTGGAATGAGTAATAACGACTTATTGTATAGGAATAGTGCTGGTATATCGTAAAGTAACCTTTAATTTTTGAACTACTTTATTTGCTGACTGACCCTTATGGTTTATCTTAAAGCGAGCTGTATCCGTCAAAGCTATCAAATCCCATACGGACAAATTCAATAAATACCGCAAGGCTGGTGAGGAGTGGTTAATAACCAATGAAGAGGCAGAATACCATATATGTGGTGCACTTGAAGAGTTTGTGGAAGAAGTTGAAGTAACTGTGCTGCGTGCTCATCAGTATTGTGTTATAGTCAATCCTTGTGATGAGAATGGAGTGCCACAGTTAGGCAAAAAAGCACTTGTACGTGGGGAGAAGTCTTTTTTCTTGAGACCGGGAGAATATTTAGAGGACGGTGTTCAAGACACTTATATTCTGGGAAATGATGAGGGCCTGATTCTTCGTGCCAGAGAACAGTTTATGGACAGCATTTTCGAGGATGATGCATCAGAAGAAGGCTCCACAAAACAGAAAACAATCGTAAGTATTTCGCACATTTTATCCAATCTCTATGCAATCTGTTCTTGATTTGAAATGTTAGTTTCTTGTCTTTCTTCAGGATTTCACTCTTATTAGGTGGTATCACCCTTGTATATTGTATGGACTTCATCACTACTAGCCAGTATTGTCAAAATTCCCGTTTGTGCTTTGTTGGATATATTGTAAAAGTGAACTCGTTCGTGTTAAGATAGACAAAAGTTAGGTAACTTGTTAGTGCACAGTAGTTAACTTATTTGAGAAAATGCAACAGAAGCAAGAACAACAGAATAAAGAGAGTGTGGTCACCTGAAATTACGTGAACAAATAAATGCCCTGCAAAGTGATTTATTACTGTTCAGTTATTATCTCTACTATTACATATTTGTTTTATTACGGACTTCATATGTATAAAACCCGTTTAGTTTCTCGTAGGCATTACATAATGCAGCTGGTTTTATCTACATTTTGCTTCTAGTTACGCCGTCCTGGAGATCTGTGGATGTTACGTGGACCTATCGAATACGTACCTCCTGTTGAAGTTGAGGCGATAGGACGTCGAGAAATTATTCCGTTAGATTTTAATGAGGGTGTTTACGTTCGTAATATGCAAACAGGACAAGTTCGTGCTGTTATTGGTCATGCCTACATGCTAAATCAGGATGAAGAGTTGTGGGAAAAGAAGCTTCAACCTGATGTTGTTCAGTTGTTATCGATGAACTTAGATCCGTGTGCAGATCGTGGAGTTCGATCCCTTGGAGAAACATCCGATGATTTTGATTCAACCCGTGTGGTTACTTTTCGTGTTCCACACAATGCTGCAGTTCAAATTTATGACTACAAAAATAAAAAGTCCAGAGTTGAGTTTGGACCACATTTAGTAATGTTGGGACCAGACGAACAGTTTACTCGTCTCAGCTTGAGTGGTGGAAAACCCAAGAAACCAAATGTAATTAAAACCCTTTGCTTACTCTTAGGTCCAGACTTCTGTACAGATATTGTTATTGTGGAGACAGCAGATCATGCTCGCCTGTCTTTACAGTTATCCTACAATTGGGTGTTTGATATCTCTCCATCGTGCAGTCAAGCTGATGCTGCTAAGTTATTTTCAGTTCCAGACTTTGTTGGAGACGCTTGCAAGGCCATAGCATCTCGTATTCGTGGTACTGTTGCATCTGTTCAGTTCGATGATTTTCACAAGGTATAGTGTGTACTTCATTGATTATAATATGATTTTTCCTCATATCTAACTTCATGTGATGGAAGTTAACTTAATGCTTGGAATACGCCATATTTTAACAATGCTTGAAGCTAACGTTTAATCTATCTTTCTGTCAAAGTTGACTCACTTTCAACTTGAAGTTCATGACTACGTACAAAGAAAGTGATGTAATCGACTAGTCAGATACCGAAAGTGATTCTCGCTAAATACGAACCGAATACGATAAGTTAGCCTGTTTCTTTTACCGTGCGAGTTTTATGTGATAAAATACATCTATACAGTTTTGCAATAAATAGTGTTCTCTGAGCTGGTTGGTTAATTCCAAATCATCCACCTGAGTTACAAATCTTTACTACTATTTCAACACCTATACAGTGTTACTTGCTAAAGTGCAGAACGCGCGATGCGTCGTCTAAGTGCATGCGAAGTACTAAACTGACTGCAGATTAGAAAAGTCACGACCGACATATTACGCCAAACGATTGATTTCTCATGAGTTACACTTCTGATTTTGATTCATTCAACACGGCTTTCAGTTATTTGCAATTTTTTAAAATTAAATGGTAATCTGAAGGGTAGGCATATACTGTTGACTTAGTTCTCTTCTCTGATGGCTTAGTTGCACATGATTGATGTTGTTGTATTTTAACTCTCTGTGTAGTAAGAGAAATACTTCCTTGGAAATCATTCTTATATCATGCTGGTTGGCAGCAATATTAGTTCTTTTGCTTGATGAACTTGTATAAATGTTTGGCTATGTTCAAGTGTGGAAGCTAGTCGCCTTTTCAACCTTTAACTACAGTCGTATTTGCACCAGTAAACTTTGTGTTGAAACTTTCTTGGAATGTTCGCCAGCTGTTCCAGCTGCCAACCTGAAATCTACCAAAAACGGTGTTTGGGAAAACGCCTTTTGATTTATTACTTTGTTGTTTAGTTTATGCTCTTTTCTGTTGAATTGTATTGTGTTGCAGGTTCTACTAAATAACATTTTATTCTTGAAAAAACTGTATTTTTAGATATGGCTTTACCTTGGAAGAGATGGTTTTTCACTGAGGTTATGGAACTGCATCCATGGAGTAGGCTAGGACATGTGGTAACACCTGGGAAGCCAACAAGTCCCTCAACCTGCCCTCAGAATCCGACATGCACACCAAATCTCTCTAGTCCTCACTCATCTTCATCTCTATTATCTTGCCTTCCTTCCACTGATGCAACTCCTCTACTTGATGGTTCTTCATTTCCTCTTCACTCTGCGTCCACTAAAAACGACGGAAGCCAAAAAACCACCACCGACAGTCTCCTAAAGCCACGCCACCAATTTCATATAGGAGCTTTTAATGTTAGGACACTTTGCCAAATAGGACAACAAGCATCACTAGCCAAGACCCTGGCATCACGAGCCATTGATGTATGCTGTGTTTCAGAAACACGCATACAAGACCCAAGTGTGGTTATTCACCTAACCCCACCTGGCCAACAGGTTGAATCTGCAAAATTCACCTTGAGGGTGTCAGGAGATGCCACAGCTAGTTCACGAGGATTAGCTGGCTTAGGGATAGCTTTGAGTACTAGGGCAGAAAAGACATTGCTTGACTGGATCCCGGTAGATAGCCGAATGTGTGCTGTCCGCCTGAACGGATCAGTAAAAAGGAGAAAGGACTGCACCACTCGCCGATGCCTTTTCGTAATCTCCGCCTACGCCCCCACTGACTGCAGTTCAGATGAAACGAAGGATGAGTTCTACCAAAAGCTGTCTGCTGCGAAAGGCTAAACGCTCAGATATAGTCGTTCTAGCTGGTGACTTTAATGCTCAAGTAAGGAAATTGTGTCAATCTGAGAAGGATGTCGGTGGCACCTATGGAGTCCCACGCCAGCGAACCGACAATGGTGACCGTCTCCTACAGTTCTGTTCTGATAATCATTTGTTTCTTGTAAGCACTAACTTCAAACACAAGGAGAGACACTGTTTGACCCCCATCATCAAACCAACGCTGGACACAAATAGACCACATAGCAATAAAGTATCGTTGGCGTGGGTCGATAGGAGATTGTCGCTCCTTCTGGAACACGTGTGTAGATACCGATCACGCACTGGTCCGCGCTCGGGTGTGCCTACGACTAAACGAACGTAGGAACAGCTGGCGGTAAACCCATCACGTCCCCAGCTCGATCTGGAAACTAAATTCCTATTTGAGGAAGAACTAGCTAAACACATTTCTGTGTTCGACAGCTGTGCTCACCCTGAAGAAGCTTGGAAGAATATTCAGTCAGCCATAGATACAGCTGTAAAAGCTGTGAATAAGGTAAACCCAAAGGTGAGTAAAAACCATTGGATCTCTGCCGCCTCATCCGAACTGATAGATGCTAGAAGACTTATTCCGGCGAGCTCCGAATTCAATGAGGAGCGAAAGCTGCACAAGAGGAAACTTACGAAAAGTCTCCGCAAGGACCGTGAACAGTGGTGGGTGACAAAGGCGAAAGAGATGGAAAAAGCATCGGCGATAGGCAATGCTAGGCAACTCTTTAGACTCATCAGGGAAACGGGTGGGAGAAGACAAATCATTAGTGAAACAATCTCGGAGAAAATGGCACCATAATTAGCTCCCAGGATAGACGACTGGAACGCTGGAAAGAGCACTATGAGGAGCAGTTTAATTGGCCCACAGCCACGCTCAACCTCCGAACATCCAACACCTCCCTGAATGGGATATAGACACAGGTCCTCCGTCCCTAACTGAGGTTACTAAAGCTGTTACCAATCTGGAACTAGGCAAAGCAGCGGGACCTGATGGAATGACTCCAGAGGTATTTAAGTACGGTGGAGACAGTTTACTGTCTGCATTAACTGAGGTTCTAAGCAGCGTCTAGGAATCAGAGGAATTCCCATCGGGTTGGTGTAAGTCACTGATTATCCCCATATACAAGAAGGGAGACAAGTCTTCCTGTGATAATCACAGAGGGATTAGCTTGACTAATATAGTATCTAAAGTCTTAGGCTCAATAATCATGCGTAGACTAAGTGGTGCTCGGGAAGCACAAACACGAGAGAGTCAGGCAGGCTTTAGACCAGGAAGAGGGTGTATTGATCATATCTTCACCCTCCGACAGATTCTAGAACATAGGCATTCCTACCGGCGTCCAACAATCATTATATTCCTTGACCTAAAGGCGGCATTCGATTCTGTCGACCGAGAGGTTCTCTGGAGATGCTTGGCTGTAAAGGGAATGCCGAGAAAATACATTGCACTGATTAAGGCACTCTACTCGTACTCATACAGCCAGGTGAGGGCTTACGGCGAGTTGTCATCTGAACTGGTGACGACTAGTGGTGTCCGTCAAGGATGCCCATTATCCCCATTTCTATTCAACTTCATCATAGATGTGTTAATGGACTTAACCCTAAGTGACTTCAGCGACTCAGGGATTAACTTGCTACCAGGGAATAATCTCGTTGACTTAGAATATGCAGACGATATAGTCCTTCTAGGCGAAGACGCTGACGAAATGCAGAGTCTTCTAAACACCTTGAGCAGCAATCTACGAATGTTTGGCATGCGATTCGCTCCCGCCAAATGCAAGATGATGTTACAGGACTGGACTACATCGACGCCTAGTTTAAAAATAGGAAGTGAAGTGGTAGAGCACGTTGACCGCTTCACTTATTTGGGAAGTACCATCAGCCAACGCCAACGGGTTGATCTCTGACGAAATCTCAGCACGGATACAGGGGGCTCGTTTCGCATTTGCCAGTTTACGCCGACTCTGGCGTAGACGAGATGTTCGACTATCGACCAAAGTGCGGGTGTACTGCTCATCAGTCCGCTGTGAGACCTGGCCACTGAGAGTGGAAGACATGAAAAGATTAGCTGTCTTTGATCATAGGTGCCTGCGCTCTAAATCCTGTGTGAAGTGGTTTAATATGGTGAGCAATATTGAGGTAAGGATCGGTCGAGTGCTAGGTAAGGAGGGGAAATCAATCGACGAGGTTGTGAAGTTACATAGACTGAGATGGTTAGGACATGTGTTACGTATACCTAGTCACCGCGTTCCTCGACGAGCAATGTTAGCGGATTTAGGGTCAGGCTGGAAAAGAGCTAGCGGTGGTCAAACCAAAACATGGCTTCATCAGTCAATAAAATCCACAACAGTTAGTTTACGCCAGCCACGTAGGAAGGTGTAGACTTCCAGGCTGGGGTCCTCGGGACGGTAAAAACCAATGGTTGGAAACAATTGGTGACATGGCTCAAAATCGTTCTCAATGGCTGGCGCAGATGCATCCACTCCTTGTGACTTATGATTTCCAATGAAACTGTTTTGTTCTTCGTTATTACTCTTCCTTTGTCTCACACCTCTGTTTACTGTCTCTATTATGCATTTCTTGTACTTTCTTCTCTTGCTTTGTGTGCTACATGGAGTGTGGCGACTTGAACTGTCGCTCATATGTGCAAAGTTCTTTGTCGAAAACAGACAGACAGACAACCCGCAGTGTTAGGTGTGAAGTTACTGACTATTGGTTTGGCCATGTAGGATGGTATAGGCTGTCTGGTTGAGGTTGTAGGACTACTAAGAAAGAGTTGTAAACATGCTTCTAGATCGTTTAGACTGGTTTAGATATTCTTCTTTCTTTATTTCTCCCCTTATCCCGTACATTTCCATCTCTTTTCGTTTGATCACATTTCTTTAGTTTTATGTACGTTTCTCTAAGGCCTGGGAATTGGAACAAACTCATTTTTGTGCAAAGTTCTAGATTGATAAGTCAGTGACATGTATGGGCCATTTGGAAACGATGTTTCGCCTTTTCTGTTTTCCTGATTGCACTCAGCAATCTTTAGTTGTGCATTGATCAACATTAAATTCAACTGTCCTCGAACAGAATTGTCAAATTAAGATAATTCAGTGTCATCAATTTTATGTATAACTGCTGCAAACTACAACTTCTCGTATTTGTAAATTTTAGAATTCATCACGAATAATTCGTGCTTCTGTCTTTGGATTGGATGAAGCGGGAAAAATTCGAGATCGATTTGTATTTCCTCAGAATAATCTTCACATTACAAGTGTTGATGTACAGTCAGTAGAGCCGGTCGACCAGCGGACTCGAGAGTCGTTGCAAAAATCAGTCCAACTGGCTATCGAAATAACAACTAATTCACAAGAAGCAGCTGCTCGGTAAGAAAGTAATCTTAATTGTAGGCAGTCTATTTTTAATGAGTATTCTAACTGCATAAAACAAGGAAATTTGATCCCTCCTGCACTTCAGGCAACCTGTATTATATATAATGAAGTAAGAACAATAACATGCATTACTGGCTAGGCAAAAAAGTACTACTCAATGCTTTATATGAAGGCGGAAACTTAAAATGAAATTTCTTCCACTGATATAAGTGTATTGTGTATGCACGTATTTTAAAGATAAAAATGCATTGGAATGATAGTAACTCAAAGCATGAATAACTGGACAGTGTGATGAAATGAACATACACTGGTTTTAACATCAATCAATGGAGTTAAAATGGTACGACAAGGTGTATAAACAATTATGTAGGCAGTGGTAGGTTAATAGATTACTTGTTCTGAAAATTCCTTCAGAGTTAATGATTTGTTCATGCTACAAAATATCGTAGTAATTCGCCTCTACTTCTCAAATCTTTCGGGTTATATACATCTTTTCCTTATGTAAGTTGATTTTTAAATTATTGTTCTAGACAACGATTCTGGTTCCTTCCGTTTCAAGTTTGTTCAAGTGTATTCAGCAAAGTTACTATTTGTTTATTTAATATTTTGAGTTACAATACAACAGACTTTTGAAAAGTAAAAGTGAATAGTTCTGTCACTTTTCAAATGATCATTTTTCTTTCAGTCATGAAGCTGAAAGAATTGAACAGGAATCGAAAGGTCGATTGGAACGTCAAAGAATTGAAGATGAAGCAGCTGCTGAAGAAGCCAGACGTCATTTACTTGAAATTCGAATGCAGTTAGTTGCTCTTGAAAGTAGTAGCCAGGCTAAAGCAGAAGCCGAGAGTCGAGTTGAAGCGAATCGTATTTCTAGCCAAGCTGCTATTGAGGAAGCTAAACTTCGTGCTGAAGCTTTATCAATTGAAACGGTAGATAACTTTGCAGTTAACATTTTCCAAACTGCTTTTGTGTGATGTTTGATAATCTCAAATGCTATCTGACAGCAACTATAACCAGACGTTTTATGATAGATTCCGAATTTTTCATCTCAATCATCCATCTATGATAACTTTGGTTGGTGCTTTTGTCTCATTATAGAAAATAGATTTATATAGTGGCATTGATCATATTTATATCAAGTCACTCAATGTAGATAAAGTTATAACAAAATCAGAAGCATTTAGAATATGTTGAAAAAAGTACTTCATGAAACTGCTTATATAAAAATAACCTAAAGGTGCTATCGCACCATAACGTCAACGTTTAATTACCTATTGTATTGAGCTACTCAGGACAGCAGAATGCTTACATTTTGTTTAATCCTACTAGTCTCTTATTTGTTGCACTGCGCGATTTCCAAAATCAACCAATTATCCCATTTTTCATTTTTTTTTGTGAGTACGTAGACCATGTTCTCTGTGAAAACACTTCTAATGACCTGCGTAATCCGTCTATAATTCCCTAAATCCATTGACATAAGTTGGTTTTACATTGAAAATAAGTATTACAGTTAACTAGAAACGCATAACTGTATCTTTCATTTATCACGTACCCACTGTGTACCTTTATTACTTTGCAGAACACAGTACCTCAGTATTAAAATATGCAGAAAGGAGGCCAGGCTTTCATCACACTGACCATGTGACTCCATTCATTTTATTATATATATATCTCAGTATATATTATTACTATTGTCCCCTTGTGTTACGAGTAGAACATAGGGTTTCAACAACACATCTCCAATTTGTTCTATTTTCTGCCATCCTTTTCAACTGGGACCGCGATTGCCCATAATCTCTCATCTCTTCCTCGCACCATCTCCTCCATGTCACCCTGGTATGACTCACTCGTTACTTCCCATTCGGATTCCACTCCAGTGGTGGCCCATACTGCTTGCGATGTCATTCGATGGTTTCTTCAGTGTATACTCGATCCATCTCCATTTTCTCCTACATGTTTGGTGAGCGATTGACTCTCGGTTGGTTTTTTCCCATAGTTTCTTGTAGCTTTATATTTTCTGGCCATTAGACCGCCAGCAAAGGGGTCAGCTGTTGTTGAAATTCTGCAACAACCTGTGACACACAGTGCAAGTTTCTGACCCGTATAGAGGAACAGACTTCACACTGGTGTTGAAAATCCGAATCTTGTACTATATGCTGAATGACAGTAGGAGATTTACAAACTGGTTTCAGTTTGATGAAAGTGTATGTTGCCTTTCCGATTTTGACTGGCTGGCTTTAACATCTTCATTCGTTATGTCTGTAGTTGAAACGATGCTTCCTTCATAGATAAGTGAAGGAGGTAATTACTGTTAAATCTCTCCCATTGATGGTGATTCATGCGGGTTGCTGTTAACTGGTTATCTTCAGTATATATATATTTAAATATATTTCCACTAACTCTTAACTTAATTTTTAATTTCTAGAATGCAGAATTGCAAAGACTTCAGTTAGCTCGAGAAGCGGAAATCGCCTATCTCAAACAAAAGAATGAGTTGACTTTGAAATATAAAGCCGAGGAAGCCGAAATTGAAAAATCACGTTTTATCTCAATGGTGAATGCACTCGGTGCTGACACTTTACGTGCTATGGCAACCGCTGAATCAGATCACAACTTACGCATGTTAAAGGCTTTAGGTCTACAGAGTACACTGATTACAGATGGTTCGACACCAGTAAACTTGTTGAACACTGCTCATGGTCTTATTGGCTCCGTTTACGAAAGATCGACATGTACAAGAACCAAAGTTGACAGTGAAAATATAAGTGAGAATGAAAAGTAAACTGAAACTGCTTGAAATTTAGTGTTTTGTATTGTTTTTTTCAATTGAACAGCTTGATTTTTAACTTATTTTCACTAATTACTTCACATTATATTTTTTCTTACTTTCATTTCACCACTTGAATATCTTTTTACAATATACTGTTTTGTGAAAGCTACATTTTTAGTGCTAGTGAATGTCAGTTCATCATTTCCTGTTTGAGATATATATGTATATGTCTTCCAAAAATGCGATGAAATCAGTCTATATATTGTCGAGGTTAATGTGAAGTTGTGTTGAGTGCTTTCCATACGTGTGAGTGAGCATTCAGTTTTCAAAGTACATAATATGGTCATTTGAAGAAGCGCTGCTATCGAATTAAATAATTCCATAGACGGGGTCTTCTGAAACTGAACTATATCACATTGACACTTTGACTAACGTTAGCTGTAATTTTTCGTTCTCAGGTCATCATAAATCAGCAGTTTTGCAGTAACAAGTGATTTGTTTGTTTAACAAGGATTAATTGAAAGTTGTAAACTGTTTTATTCAGTCATGATTAAGTCGGTTGTTGGTGTAGGTAAGCTGTCTGTTTCACTCCTTCGTAATAGATTTTTGTCATATGAAAAGCTGTAGGCGTGTAGTGGATACAAGATGTAGAAATTGTTGTGAAGGTGATCTCAGGAATCCGTAAGGTCTGGCAGAACAAAGTTGTAAAGTGGCTTCTTTCAAACTGCTTATGTCTCCATTGTCCTGAGAAAAATAAAATGTCTCACCTACATCAAATATATATATGTATATATATTTCTACGAATCGTTTAGTAAAATTTAGGATTCAGGCTTCATTCCACACTGGTTTCTCGTTCTTCATACGATGGTGTTACATGCATGTGTCACAAGTGTATGTCTGACATATCGTAAAAGTTTGTAGTAATGTTGGAAAGTTGTATCACTTATCTAAATGTAGTCTGTAATGAAGACATTTCATGTTTGGTAAAATTCAGCGTAAAATTATTAATTGCATATTAGGATTCTACTGATAAGTGGGTAGTGCTTATGGTTTACTAGCTGGATGAAATGTAATACGCGCACAGTGACAACGCTTATGATAATCGCATCATGCTGCTCATATTCAGTACATAGTTTAGTCAGTGTCGTTAGAATAGTCATATTTCACGTTTGGACTTGGTTTGTTTTTTTTTTTTCTTATGTTAACTGCACAAAGTCTACTTGGATATCTTTGCTTAAACCAACGTAAACATAGTTTTTTGTTTTGTATGGTATGACTTTTAATTTATTCATCCAATCGTACGCAGTGCTTTCAAATCTCTATGATCAATATTTTATTACACTGGTCTACTCTTCATCAAAGCTATGCCAAAATAAATAATTGTCTATGTTTCACATTATTACCGTCTGTCGATAGTTTTTGCATTGTGAAATGGATCACCGCACGATAATAATAAATAATGGAACATCATTATGCGTGAACAAACGTCAAAAATGTAACTATCATATGTTGTATTACATTGTTTAACCAGTAGAACTTGACCCTCATTATTTTGTAACTACGTAAACGAATATATTCACCTTGCGATTCAGTTTTATCGAAGACTTTTGATAGTTGTAGACAAACAGTGGGAATTATTGTGTCAACATTATTCATCTTCGCCACACACTACTTATTTATAATAGGTGGCTGTAGGTTACTTCTCAAGCCTTCTGGGTGAAGTGCCTTCTTGGAATGTTAGTGTCTCCACTAAAGGGGAAAGTTTTTTTGAACGTTTTGCTTCCTAGCAGTAGGTACAAGAGCTTCTGTTTTGAAGTGAGTATCGACAATGGTGGGGGTGATTACTAAGGCCTCTTTGATTTAAGTGGTTGTGTAATACATTCGAGTATGGAAAACAATTCGTATTAGTCTGAGCAAAATGAAAAATTCGAATAACCCACAGAGCTATTTTTGAAACTACATACCCAGCCTATTTTGAATCTACTAATTGATGCTTTGATTACAGCTTTCATCCATATTTGAAAGACTGTCTACGCAGTGCTACTGTTTAATTCGCTGATTTTACAGTGTATGTTACTGATAGGAAATTCCAAGTAGTATACACTGTAATGACTTCGGTAGATATAACAAACTAAAGAGAGATAGATTATGGATCAGATACGAATGTTAGATATTGTTTATCAAAGCAGAAGTAGTAGAAAGAAGCCTAAGAAAAACTTAGAATAATACAGCAAACGAATAAATTTAGGCAGCTGTCGGATGTAATTAGAAACTAGTAATAGGTTATGTAAAAGACGAAGTATCGCTTACTAAAAGCATCTGAATGCTACACAGTGTAGGTAAGATGAATCAATCAGTTGGAGCTAAAAATTGTCTTAACGAGAAAGAGTTATATATATATATATATATATATATATATATGGTCGGGGGTGGGTGCCTTGCGCTGTGGGTTGGCCACCCCTCCGTACACCTCTTGAAATGCTCCCATATGACCGGGCGTCTTACATAGCCTCTCCTGAGGAAGTCCCACTCACTGCCTTCACGTGGCGGAGGTGTTTTTCATCGAAGTGAGAAGGCAAAAGTGGATGCCCGGCGCTCTTCACCGGGTTGACTGTCCATTGGATGACAGTCTAGGGGAGATGGCTAAACCCTGACTTCAAACCTCCAACGACTGGCGTATGAAGCTCACCGGTAGACGTATGGACAAAGGGCTTATTGGAGGCCCTGGATGTCTGGCCCCATTCAAAAAGGCGTATGAACCGGACTCCGGTCACTGGCTGCCAATGGATAGTGGACTCCCTACTCCACTCCTGCTGCCTTGTAGGTCACACTTGGTTGTGTAAAGACTAGAGCTGCACTCTCAAACAAAGGGCCGAGCGATGCTGGGGACATCACTCGTACCTAATTCCCATGAAACTTCATGAACTCTCTACAACATTAACCAAATTCCAGTACTGGTCCAACAACGTCGCCTTCGGTGGTTTGGCCATGTTCTGCGCCGACCAGATGATGATCTGGTCAAATAAGTTCTAAATCCCTCGCCATTTCCATCTTGGCGATGTCGCAGAGGTGGACAGCTGAAAACATGGATTGGTACAGTCAAGGCTGATATGGAGTGTCTGCGGCTACAAACCGTCTACGGACCCCGTCTGTGGAACAAGAATTGGATAACCCTGTCGCAAAACCTTGCATCAGATCGCCGCGCCTGGGCAGCAATGATTCGAGATGTTCATGAAGCCGGCTCATCCTTCCGTAGGAGATAGCCGAAGTAAATATATATATATACATATATATTGGATAAGCTAATGGTATTCGTCATCATCACTCATAGTGTTTGTGAGCTTGATATGAATGAATACAGAAATTAGAAGTTAGGGATTTGAAAAAAGCAAGAACTACAGTTTTAGCAGAATAAAATGGTACCATCTTTTATTTCGTTGCCTTCTAGTCAGCTGCTTACATAGCAAAGACATTATTAAATATATCTACAACAACAATTTTAACATACTTGCACAGAGTTAAGTTTAAACAAAAATCAATCGATCAATATACTCATACACTAAAATTGTTGTTGTAGATATATTTAATAATTTCTTTGCTATGTAAGCAACTGACGAGAAGGCAACGAAATAAAAGATGGTACCATTTTATTCTGCTAAAACTGTAGTTCTTGCTTTTTTCAAATTCATTAAGGGGAATAAATGTATGAGAAGTTAGGGAATTGGATAAGAATCAGTTTAAAATCAAAGATTACAATTACAATCGTTTAATTATTATAATAATCACTGCAATTTGTGCTATTAACTTAGGTTAACGCTTTCATTATTTATTTCTTAATAACATTTTAAATTGTATACTATATATAGAGCAATATACTTTTTCATCACTGTGTTACTTACTTACTTTTGATTTAGAAATTTTAATTCTAAATCATGTGATTACAGCTTGTTAATTACCAGTTTATTACAGTACTTTAGAACCTGTTCACATTGAGCTTTGAATACCTATACTAATAAGTACGATAGTGAAATACGTTAAATCATAAGGTAGCTATCTGATATTCTAACTCATTAAAGTACTAGATATTTTCTTTTTTTAGTTGTTAATTAGCACTCGGTGATTACAGTAGTGAATAGCATATTTGTATAATTCAGATGAACAATCTGTCGATCAATGAAATCGCTCTTTATTATGGGAGACATCGTTTTATATGTATCTTTTGGCTTTTATTTTATTATCCAGGAATCACTGTGCTGTACTACTGTTATTGACCTAAGATGTATTGTCATTGTGAGAGCTTAAAAATGTGATACGAAGTAACTCTTAAGCTTGCCTGACCTAGTAAGGATTTGGTAAGAAGCAGCTGACTTTCCAATGAGACATAAGCTTACTGTAGCTTAAAAATCTACATTCAGTTATACAAAATTTTATTATGCCTGATGTAGACTGGATGAAACTGTCCTATACAGGATAATCAATCAAAAGTGACTACTGTTATAAAAATGTGTTTCTGAATAAGGTGTTTATCTAATGTTGCACAGTTCAATTCCATCATGAAGGTCGCCTCTGTCAAAGTATGTGGTAGGTATTGAAACTGAGCTTAAGTGTGAGATCAGCAGTGGAATTCACTATACATGTTTCGTCATATTTTGTGCTCATCATTCCGAAGTTTTTACATCTCAGTAGATTAATGTGTTCTAAATGAGATTCTATCTTAGCAACCAATTCTTTTTACGCAAAACGTCATTCATTAAGCGAAATATCCATAAGATCCACTTGTTACACAATGGCCATCACTTTTTATTGATAAAAACATGCGAATCCATGCTTATCAAATAGACATTAAAAGCATCTATTCCATTTCTCAGCAAATATCAATTGATTTCGTAGAGTAAAATCAAGTTTCAATAAATAGCTGTTGGAATTATGTAGATAGTAAACCTGTATTAGAGGAGTAATTTAATTGATATAGAAAACATATTTATTGGTAGTGAGTGAAGAAATCTTGTTATGGTTGTAAATCGTGAAAAACAACATACGAATTAGCATTGTTAGATCTTTTTATGAGGCATACATAATAAGATTTTTTAGCATTGTTCAAATCGGTCGGTATGTAAATGCATGAAATAACATAAGTATGCAAATTAATTCAAATACGAAATTATCACCTTCATGCAGTAAGTAATTCCATCGATACTTTACTCTCTTCCAGGAACCATCTTCTTGATTAGATAATATTTTATGAAGTGTGATACATCAAAGAAACATGTTGTTCTGATTATTTCAGGTAATACTTTCTTATACATTAGACTGATTTTCTGAATTGATGTTAGATGGCTGGTGGCAGGAGGCCCTGACGGACCTAGGTTTCATGACTGTTGGCACTCGTCAGCAAGGTTTATCTGCAATATTCTAGGTATTTATATCCCTTGTGAACTCAAACCCGGGTCACCCAGTGTTGTAGTCAGAGGTGTTACCATTGAGCTATTCGGGCTAGCTGTTCGCCTCCTGTAGGATTTACATTGAATACTTTGTCTGTATCCTAGGTGGTGACTAGTGTAATACATCCAGTCTTTTAACTGTTAGAACTCAGTCCACACTAAGCGAAAGGCTAAATATTACTTGTCAGTTGTTAGAATGATTTTTCCTTAGCCTTGCATCAGTCTCCTTCCAAAGGCTTAACCGATTTTGGGATTATGTTTTGGATTTTGGATTAATCCCTAGAATGAATGATCCCAGTAATATGTACGCTTCTGTTTGCCAATTCGCAAGGCTTGTCTTATTAAGCTTACAGTTCAACTTATAAACAGCGCTAGGCGTACGCAATCCAGAGATATTATAAGGGTGCTGTGTTCAGTTAAACAACGATCAAAACTTCGTTTAACTAACTATTTTCACTGGGAACGATCATTCCATTTGACAAATTTTAGGTAGCGTTTTCAAAAGACAAAGTTTTTGTGAAAAATTTGATGTGTTCAGGCAATACACCACAAACAATTGCATCACACACTTACTTGTCAGTTCATTCTATACGGAAAATGAAGGAATGAAAGGTCGATTAAAGTAAACGAAATAATAAGGGATTCAAGAGTAAGAAGGATAACAGTAGTTAACATGACTGTTGGCAAAACATTCAGACATGGATTGTCAAAATAGTTTAAGGGTAATCATAAATTAATTTGTGAAACAAAGGGTTTACATTTTACAAGTGACTTTCACCTCAGTTTATTTTAGTACACCCCCTCTGACAGTTTTCTCACATTTTATAGGATACTGTTCTGATATTAGTTGTGTTTTGATGTCAGTCTGCCACCTATGCTTATCAGGGTCGAGGAGTTCAATTGTTCTTCAAGCCATTTCCTTATCTGTTCTCCTGCTCTCATCTGCATAGTGCCACTACACCTCGTTAATATTTGTGTCTACACACTAGTAAATTGGTATGTAGTATGGAATGTAACATAATCACTCCCGAAATGTTGAGAATTGTCTGAGTCATGTTTTTAGCCTTTTTGAATATTAAAAGCCAGGTTCCGTAATGCGTTTTATGAGGAAAGGAATTTAACCCCTGTCTTAAAATCACACTGTTTAT